AATTTATTACCGTATTAACTCATTTATATCATGGAGAATGGTAATGTGTTTCTGGGTTTATTTCACATTTAATCGCTCCTAACAAAACAAGTTCGATTTCAGGATAAATATATAGTTCGGCCATTAGCGGGCGTAAATTACCTTAAATGGCGTAATTCGGTTACTAAACTAGATTTTATTTCTAATTCTAATCTTTACCAATGCGTGTTATAAGCTTTTATTAACAAGATCAAAGGTAAATTAGCGTAAAATGATGCTTTATTTCAAGTTTTATATTACCTAATTACACGTAATTTTCCATTTCTGTATTGTGATGAATTTATCCGCTCTGCTGCGTGTTGCGCATGCTCATTACCACCGGAAATTCAGACACGCATGCGTTTACATGACCTCATTGATCTTTGCCTCTCACGTGTTTTATCATCGCATGTTGCAAAATGAAGTCAAATCAAATATGAACAAAAATGTAACCGATATCAATATTCAACACTCACTGGAAACTCTTTGAGTGAGAACTAGAATGGGACTGTATAATGTATATGCAATACACTTGCCAAACTAAAAAATGCATATAGTTTATTTCATGAAAGTACGTTTTCTCGCGTTATGTCATACGTTCGTCTTTAACATGACGATCAATTCTGCCTCATCGACTTTGCCAATTAAGATTTTTGTTTTCTACGATTGATACGTTTGGTTACCTAAGATTTAAAAAAAAATGTCACCGAACATAACGATAAAGTGCGTGGCATTAAAAAATAGCATTTCCAGAACTCAGAAATTAAGGATATATAGTAACATGCAGTGCAAAATTTATACTTTTATGGCCAATATCCAAAATCAGTTTTAATAGCGTTAAACAAACAGTCCCATAATACATCAGATCCTTGCCGGTAGTGAAATGAAGTCAATTTTAAAAACGTTTTTTCTCAATGTTTTACAGTATTCCTACTTAAATATCAGCACCACCTCTGCTTTTTAAATTTGTCTTTTGACGTCTTGTATGTGATATGCAGGCTTCTGACCTTTGAGTCCCTTTCAAAATTACATTTTATTGAGTTCCGCCCATTGTTTTCTCGTTAAGGTCACACGAATTCTATTGCATAGGAATCTTACTCGGCTTTTTATGAAATTGAACGAACGTAATGTTGAGCTCTGCTAAAGCCGGTGCTAAGGGGTGAGGACAGTAGCACCGTCCATGAACAGGCTCAATCAAACCGAACCTACAACATTTTTCAATTTTGCCGTTTTTCCGTTCTTAAGGGATTCTGTTTTTGTCTATTTTGCATACATTTGAGCAGGGTCTTTCAAATAGAATCTATTTGAAAGACCCTGATTTGAGACAAAAACTGAATTATTTTTATCAGAAATCGCATGCAGTAGTTTTCATAAACGAAAGTAAATCTAAAATATGTATAACGGACAGTATAACTATAATATAAACTGTTGGATAACTAATTCTTCATTAAATTATATACATGCAGGTTATTATAGCTGCTTAAAATTTCTATTGTCTATTAAGATTTTTTTTCAAACCGGGCAATGCCTAATTTCTACTACATGAAACAAAATAACAATGTGTTTTTCCGACTATTGTAAGTTTTTTTTTATTATAAACTTATATTTCCCACAGTTTTTTAGCGTACGATGCGATTAAGTTTTTATGAAAATCTTTATCTGATCAAAAAATCTTATCCTTGTTTGAAATCTTTACAAATCACTGCATTGAAAATAAAATAAGTCCCCTTATATACGATTAAATACCGTAGTACACAGTATTTATATTTATATATATCTTAATAAACTATTTATTTACCTTACAATGTCTGACACCGTATTTAGATTAAACTTTATGTATACTTTAAATAGTATATATTAAAAAGACAATGTCCATTTTCTCACAAAGTGTAAGAAAAGGAAGATAGAGATCTCTGATTTATGTAGAATCAGTAAAACACTAGTTAAATATATATTTTGTTAATAGGTTTTGATAAAGGTTTTGATATTATCATATACAAATATTACGATATTGACGTGTAGTGAATTCTTTATAAAAGCCCGAAGGCGCCAGTACAGATTTGAAAACACTTAAGTTCACACAAAACGATAAAAAAAAAATGCATTTAGCAATAAATCATTTTACTTCCTTTATAAAATATAATTGTCTATGAGATATATCTTAAAACAATGTTATCGTGCATAAGCTGGTGATATTAGAAATAAAACATGTTCAATATGTTATTTTCTTTATTTACGAAGCTCGTATCTCCGCATTTTAAACAATGTTTAGATTACTGTTTTGCAGTTCACATGTATGTAAAAATAGCACATCATTAATATTTTAAGAGACAATTTATGTTAACTTGATACATTGGATGGATAAAGAAAATTGTACATTTTGTTAAAAATCATTTTAAAGCTGCATGCCTCCAATTGAATATTTAAATAAAATAAATTTGAAAAAAAATGTAATTAGATTTTAGGAAAAGTAAAAAGATTTTAGATTCAAGTAATAAATTACATGTTATGTGCGATTATTGAATGATTTTTCAGTAATTATAATTATATTTCTACTGCGTTACTAACGCAGAAAGGGCTATTTTTGCATAGTTTGTCCTCTTTTTGTAATTTAAGTGGGTTGTAAGTTCCAATGATAGTGTGTAAATTTGGTTATTTCTCAATATTATACTTTAAAACACATTATAAACACATTTTCAAAATTTTCATGAAAATAGCATGAATTTGAAGGAGTGTTGCTTTTACGCAATCGTATAGAATCACAGAATTATGCCATCATTACGTTTTAGTTACGATGTCTTTGTCTTAAAATTCCCGGTTTCTGTGTTGAATATTTCACTTGGATTATGTACGTATACAGGACACTGAAACGAAATATGATAAACTAATAGGAACATGTCTCCTTTTTTCTTCAATAAAAACGAAACTTTCGATAAGTGAATTCTTGAAATGCTTTCACATAAAATTTTTATCCTTAAAATGTTTTCATAAAAACCAGGATGAATACCGGTTTACACTGGTCCGTTTCTGGGATACCAATATTCGACGTCCCTCATAATAAAATGGAAAGAATAAATGAAAAAAAAGTATAGTAATGCAACGCACGTTATCGAAGTTCTTGGCAAATGCTCATTTGTAGGCTGTATACGTTAGCGTTAGAAACGAAAGATTCTTGTTGGATGTGGTGGCTGATTTGTGCCATGTTACAGGGCGCCGGACGAAAACACGACAAGGCACAAATCAGCCACCATAGTTTATAGAGCTTAATCCGTAGGCCGTGGGTTCGGTTCCCATCAGGGGTAAGATGCTTTTTCGACTCAAAAAGTAGTCATCTTAAGAGAAATGAAACGTTTTTACATTTTACATTCAGAACTGAGTGATCTCTGATCGGGATTTTTCAGTAGAAATACAAAAATGAGGAGGATAGGTAATGTTAGTTCCGTAAAAAATATTTTAAAAAAATTTATTCGATGTAGACCGAGCTAGACCGGTACCCGATGACTTGATCGGGCTTGATCGAATTGATCTGACACAGCATTACTCACAAATTCACCAGAATAGGACAAACCAGTTCACACGAATTTTAAGGTTTTTTTGTGTGTGTGTTTTTTTTAAATACTTCAAATATTTTTTTTCCGTAGATATCGTTTCAGCCAATCGCATTACTTTCTAACGAACTATTTCTCACCTTTTATATCATTTCACCAAACGATTTATCACTATTTCATAAATATTTGTCTTGGCAGACGGCTTAATTTTTGTCAATTCAAGCATTAATGTTAATACGTAAATGATCAGGCCGAGCTTACGTTCGTAATTCCCGGAGATTACGTTTTAGATATTAACTTCTGCGTTTTAGAGCTTTTTTAATGGTTGATCAATGGATATTAAGTGGCTTAGTTGTTGTATTTAATATAAGTTTGGCAGTTTTATTAAGGTTCACACAGGTTTTATAACGACCTGACACTAATGCTGATTGAAGGGTTATTGTTTAATGAAATTCGATTTTGACTTAAAATCACACCAAGCTGATTCTCACAGCAGACACCGGGCGACAAATAAAACCTGGAGCAGATAATACTTTAGGATTTAGCCCAGGCAGAGTTTGGTAACAAACTACGGGAGATTGTACGGATTTCTTTCTTTAGCTAATCTCTTGACATATGACTTGCTCTATATTATATACTTTTTTTCTTAAAAATGTGTAAATCTACCATAACAGATTATGTTGAACAAACAGAATTTTGTGACCCCCTGCGAATAATTTACGGTGCACAGCAACGCTAAACGAACAGAGACCCAACTACCTACTGAAAGTTTGAATAATAAAGCAGACGTTGATAATTTTACGAATTCTTGCATAATGTTGTGTGCAAGGACACTAAGGGTTTTATGCTAGGTATCTCTGTCATAATTCAGAAATAACATATCTTATAGCATTATATTCAAATAAGGGTTCCGTCCGAATTAGGAAATTTGGTAACGGACGTAAGTATGATACTTAATTCGACTTATATTGTACATGTATATTGTATTATCATTTGTTTGTTTGTTTGGGTTTTACGACACAATACATGTGATATGAAGACGTTCCAGCTTTACTGGTGGAGGAATACCTCAGGTGCCCTTCCGTGCATTATTGCAGACACGAACGGGCATCTGAGTAGAACCACCGACTTCCCGTAAGCTAGTTGGATAGCTTCATCACATCAAAGAATCCAAAGTCCCTCTCGAGATTCGAACCCACAACGGTGAGGGGCAAGTGTTATTACTATTGATGACGCCAATACATTAAGAGAGCAATGTATAAATAAATATCTAATGGAATTTTCATATTTTTTGGATTTAACTAGATTTGACAAATCAGCATAAAGCTATAAAGTAACATAAGTTGTTAACCTGTTTACCATATACATGATTGACTATTATTAACAAGTTATTTGTGAAATTAAAAAAAGGGAATTAAAGAAGAGAGATTCAAATAGTGTTTTATCATTTATATACTCATATTGCACTATAAACATTATTGAACATACACATTTACAATGTACAAACACAATTTAAATATCATTGACTGATATATCACAGATATGCTTTCATAAGAGATAAACCCGTGCACCATATTCTAATATCAATAAAAATTTACAAATAGTGTACCCATGCACGTGATTTTAAAATCAATGCATACAAATTAGTTTCTATTTAAAACTTAATACTGACCACAATGTCTAGATGCTCGCACGGAAAATGAACATGTATTGTTAAAGTTACTCAAATCGCTAGCCCCATAGATATTTGCTGCAAACATATGTGCCTTTCTTATTTCTCATACATTAAAAAAAGCAGAGTATCCACGATTTAATTTGCCGGAACATTTCATAAGACAGTTGTTTCTGATAAAGTCAACAGGCATTTCCGAGATTCTGATAAATTAATGTAACAGGGGTAAAGTGTTAAACAAATACATTACAACCAAGCTGAAGATACAAAACTTAAATAGGAAGGACCAGAGACATAGATATCTACATCCCTGGAAAGACATTGCGAAAGAAACTATTAACAGAAATACAAATGTCCATGAAACAATCAAGTTGAAAAATGGTTAAAGAAAGAAAAAGGATATGTGTGTACGACAGTCTGTTGTCAACAACAGTATAATGAAACAAATGGCAAGATAATAAACATTCAAAGTCTGTGTAAATATTTATGGGAGGTTTTATAATACTGCGAGAGACATTAAACATAAAAACTTTTCATTGGTTCAGGTTTAGGAATGTCTACCATATTGTTCTTATTTCCAACAATGTTTTCTTTATGTCCACTGTCAAGATGATTTTCATCCAAATGAATATGTTTCTCTTTAATAGCTTTCATTGTATTTTCTTTAAATAAAAGGTTGTCCATTTTAATCTTTTGTAAGATTTTATCGTCGCCAAGATACGACCTTGCTCTCTCAGTTTGCTCGGGACATTTCCTCCTAGAATCTGTCCTTCTTCTAGCGTGGTCATTTACTACTAATGCTTCGTTTGAATTTTGAATGAAAGAACTTTGCCTTCCTAAAGAGCTTCTTCCAGATAAAGAGCTTCTGTCTGACAATGAACACTTGTCACTGAACGTACTGTTGCATTGAATTCTGGGTGTTTCCAAGACAATAACGTTTCCGTCATTGTCCGTTGTTTCCCAGCGCGTATCGGATAATGGCCGACACACGTTTGGAAGAAGGGAAACAATATTGCTTATGTCATTGACAAGAAATTGAAGTCTTACACTGTCCAATACACGTGGTTTTGTATCCACTTGTAATTTCTTTAGAGCAAGCTGAATGTTAAAGTTATGAAAAGATGAAACGGTGAATAAACAAAAGTCTTCTCGTTTAACATCCGGTTCGCTGCCTAGAATAAGTTTATAAAACTGCATCATTGATTGCCAATTTGTATCTTTAACAAATAATACTGTGCGGAAGAACTCTTTTCCGGTGTGAACTTGTCGCACAGCCCACAATGGAAGGTCCTCCGACGTGTAATAGAAGTCCTGACTATTGTAGGGATATGGGTTTATTGCACCACGATTCACTTGCTCCGAATGATGAAATTTCCATGGTGATTTCTCAAAATATCTTTTCATTGTCTGAATTCTTTCGAAACCAACCATGCCGTCTTCTTGTAAAAACACCATTATCGCCATACTTGGAATCTGTGCACTGATATCTGATAATGACGTAAAGGCGTTGTCTAAAGATTCTGATTTGTCAGTTATTTTTAGAACATGTAAATCGGGATCTATCCAGTTTATGATTGGTTGGTACACGTCCTCCATTGCTGAAATCTCGTGTGTGTCTGTGAGAAGTTGAATTGTCATTTTCTGCTGCTCTAGCGGCAAAAGAGAATCTGTGTCAGAGTGCTCTGAGATACTGATAATTTCACCAGCGGTATCTGACCTTGAACTTATTGATGAAATACTGCTTCCTGTAACGACATTAGGATATAATGCATTAAAAATAACATCCACATAACGATAAAGATTTTTTGCAAAACTTTCATTACAATTTAGCGTCTGATATAAACTATACCCAGTAAAATGTTTTTCATTTGCATACAGATCATTTGTAAGCGTCTAACGATTTCTTTTAATTCAGATATACAAAAACATTTACATGTATTATGAAACATCAAAGAATATGAAATAAGACGAAAGTATTTTATCAGTCTGTCGAATATTTAATAATTATTTTGCCTATTCAACAAACTTAAATGTCATTATTCTGTAATCAGATTTTACATGTTTTCTTAGATTTAATTAAAAATTGATTATATCAGTTTTTGCCGAAAACTTGGTATGTAAGGTGATAAAAATGCACAAAAAAGTTTATTATAAAATTATGTAAGTCTAATTGTACACATAAGATTATGTAAAGAAAGAAAGAAAGAAAGAAAGAAAGAAAGAAAGAAAAGAAAGAAAACCGTCCTCCCAGCCGGAAAATTGAAGTAAACCATGAAGTAAAAAAGACATAATGAATTTGTACATACCGTCACATGATGAATTGCTTGATGCCAGGCTGGAATTCGAGCTGGAAAAAGCACCCCGTCTGGACCTGAAAGAGCAAAGAAAGCAAATGTTAAATTTATATCTTTAGTACAAGTATGTAAATAAGTTTATGTATGGAAAATCAAACTTTACTTTAAAATAATACGAATTGGCGCTAAACAGGGTGCAGCTTTGCGCCCAAGTTTATTAAAGAGGCCAAAATGCATTATTAACTTTTTACTCTTCATAATTGAAATGTATATAAAATTTCTTCAATGCTATTTTCCCCTTTTATCCATGATTTTATTACACATTTTTATTGCTTTTAAAATATTAATGATCATTATTACATATGTATTTTCTTCTCCTATCAAAGAATCGTTATTGTCATTTTTTAAAACCAATCAAATAAATGAAGACTCATTGTTTGTTGTTTCGTTACTCCAGTGACGATGCAGCTTTTTTAATTAAGACGTCAGCTAATTAGACATGACAGTCACGTCTGACGTAGGTGGTTATAATACAAAATGACAAGAAAAAGAACAGATGTACAATTACATGTTCACCAATGTTGCTGTTTGTAATACATTATTTTTTTCTTTGTAACAAACTTATATGAAACCCGGAGACGGACGAAAGAGTCATCTATAGGTCAGCCGGTAAAAAATGTAATGAATGTCAGACTGAAAAAAAGCTTTACAAAAAAAAGACGCCGAAATTTACTGAACAAAATGTAAGCATATATTTGTATATTCATATATATATATATTATATAATTACAGTTAGCACGCAATGAACTGAATGTATGGAGGATTTTGTTGTTAATTGCCAAAACGATTATTAAATATTCACTCTAATTTAGGTGTGTAGGAAATAATAGTGCCCTATATTCGAAACAGTTGCGTGAAACCTGAACTTAAATTGTAAATGGTACCCCTAGAAATATTAATATCATGCTAGGTCGAATACGGTCAAAATATAACAAGATTATCACCTTGTTGCGTAGTTCATCTTTGTTTTACTGATTAAATTTGTACTTAAGTAACGTAATTACGCCTTATACATAAATTATAAATCTTATTATCCTACTAGATCGGAGTATACAAGTGTTTGTTTATCAACCATCGTGTAGGCAAAATAAGAATTTCGTGAATTTATTGTGATCTTGATTTTCAGATAACATGTGGCGACATCTATATTCATTATCAACATTAAATCGTTACTATTGTTATTAATCGTACTTTGCTAGTATAGTTGTTTTAATTAATCAATCTTTTAATTGACTCGTTCTACTACAGGACTAGACATTGTAAATTATGAATCAATTGATAAAACAAGGGGAGATCTGAAATAACTGTCGTCTGAATACCAAAATATCATATTAGTGGCGCCAATTTCGCAATGTGACCCAAAGTATTCTATTAACCACAAAGGGCACAAAAACAAATAGCAGATGCTCAACTTTAGTCTTTGAAATAATCCATCGTATTTGCTTTAATTTGATAACCGGTTATCATATATTTATTGCCATTCATTTAAGCTCGTTTGAAGCCTCCAATTAAACTTTCAAGTTTTGTAAATATAACTACAAAATCCGCTCCCTTCGCCATCATATTTTTTATTTGCTATTAATATTAAAGGGCACGTCAATTGATCTGAAGTGGTTATTAAAATCAGTTTGATCATCATAGAATTAAATGTTTGATATACACTGATTAGCGTATGCTTTTGAAAAACATCTTTACCAAAATGGACTTTTTTCTTTTGAAACACTCTCTTTTGGGTTAATTAGCGTTTAATTCAATGTTTGCACCGAAATTTCGGTTCAGACACACGTAGGTTTTGTAGTAGATTTCAAAAGGCAATTTACTTACAAAATGAAAGATTTAACTGCTTTTCATCGTAAAACATCAGTTGTTTTTGGCACAGTAAGACGTACGGAGTTGACCGTAAATTATCCACAATTTATGCGCTACTCGTGCCAATTTCAGTACTATTTTAAGTTCAATGTTTATTTACAAACAAACAACGTTAATATTTTAGCCGTTTGACTTATTTTTGTACTTGAAAAAATGAATTAAGTCACAGAGGCGGTTCGATTTTTCATTACTGTCAAGCGTCTATTCTGGGGTAAACTTTAAATTGATTAGTAGGCTGAAAAGTGCACGCTTTGCAAATTAAATTAAATGTAAATAAACATGTTTAACGTAGTGTAAACTTAGGGCAGACTGGATACGTTTTACCCGGGGTATTATGTCTTTATTTTTTTGTAAAAGTTCTAATGAGGACTTTACTTCTTGTTCAAATATTTGTATTTCTAATCAACAGAGGTCCATAAATATAAAAAATTGGCAAGCAAATACGCCCTGTCAAGGAACACTTGTACATATTATACGTATTTGAACGATTTTTGAGGTACAAATCCTAAACATAAACAAACTTTTAAATTTCTATTTTATATTTACTCTTGAAGTTTTAATAGGGTCTTTAAAATACTGTTTTGTGTTTGAAATTAGAGTGGTAGATACGCTTTACAAATGTTGATTACATTATGTATGGTACGTCTGGCAATGTAAATAACTACAAATAAAAAAGGGAAGTTTTTAGCTTTAAAAAAGCACTAAAATGCTAACAAGTTTGAGTTGCCAAATTTGTATAACCGAAATTGCATTAAAACGTGCAACTGTGTGTCATTCTTTGATACGTTTAACAACGTGTTTGATAAAGTTTTAACAAAAAATGAAATCTTTGCCATTGCTAATTAGATATTCTCAACATGTAGAATACAGGACTTGAATTTTGATACTGAAATAATAGCCTGGTTTTAATTTGAGCCGCGGGCTGGGGGGAGATGCTGGGAGGTCACGAGGTCGTTTGAAGTCGGGTGTCGTGTAACACGGACATAAAACTTCTTCTTTCAAAACTGACTTCATTGTTTCAGGTTAGAACAGGTGCTATAGTAAAAAAAGCCTCTAATCGCGTGTCAGATTTGATTTTCAATCTTTTAATGTATCCATCTATGTCAAAAATGAAATTTCTCAAATTCCCTTTGCCGTTCATTCACAAGCGTCGAATTTCACGATTTCAAATTTCAGCTATTTTTGAGATGCAATGCAACACGCGTGTTTCATTTTTGGATCGTTTAATACATTACAGATTCTAAAAGCGAACATTTTACATTCACGCTAAGGTGATTTTTAAATACCTTAGAATGAAGATTTATGAGCAAAACGACCCGGTCTTTAATTGTCCTTGAAAATTTTATAACAGTGGTTGCTAAAAAAGTAGATTTTTTCAAGACGAATATTTATTCAGTTGTAAAGATTGTAATTTGGCCGTAAACGTTCATTTAACAGATTACATATATAATTATCGAAACGCTTTCTGTAATTCAACAGGTGGGATAAATTTAACTCTCGTTTACAATTCTAAAACATTAAAAATCAATTTTCAATTAAACTCACGTCAGCAGGAAAAGCAATAAAATTTATTTTGGACGGTAAGGGGAATAAAGTTTTTGACGAAGTACTGTATAGGCATATAAAGCGAGTGTTGGGTGACTAATTTATTGCCTTAGCCAAACATTTTAAATAATGAAAGAATAAAATAACCTATTCAAAGATCTTTAAATGCCCTTTAATAGGTTTATAAGTAAGATTATCACAGAAAGGGAAGATTAGAGTTTAGAACAAATCATGTCAACGTGCCAATTCTCATAAAAATTGTTCGTTTCTATATTAGTAACTTAGTAAATAGTCATTATACTTTATGTATATGTCTGACACATTATTATATCTACCATTAAAAATGAGAAATACCACATGACACACTGCCAAATTCCCATGAAACGTTTATTTTCAAAATTAAGACTGAGTAATTTCTTTGTTCGTATTATCATTATAGACAACATGCATAAAAAATCAGCTTGTCATCGATCATATTTCAAATATTAATGAAATCAACTGACGAAATAATTTTTTTCAATAATTAAAGTTCATCCATAAAAGGTTTTCGGTAAGTTTAAAATGTTAACAATTAGTGCACAATACTAAAAACAAGGTTTGATTATGAATGACAGCTTTTATGTATGTTTATATAAAAAATCAGATTTCTTCCCATGTAAGAGCAGGTACGAAACAGAAATAGTTAATGTTATTAACCACCTTTTCTAACTAGAATACAGTAAATTAAACTTTGTGAGGGTTTAAACAAAGACTTTCACGCGAAACAATTTAAATACAAATGTATGTGAGAAATGTAAAAAATGTTAACAGAACCGATGAAAACAGATGGCAGTTTTCAAAAGCCAAACCAAACAATGTTTATAAATCTTGAACGAAAGTATAACTTAGATTTTTATCATTACCGCCAACCACCTGACGGTTAAAACAAAATGTAAAGTTTCTCGTGCATGCTATGGACAAAACATTGATAATATCTCCACCGAATTTATCTCTTTTATGTTTGAGCAAGATCTAACTAAACAAAAAAATTACACCCATTTTCTCATAGAAATGGAAAACTGATAAAAAAAACTTTAAAAAGGGCAAAACTTTAGACAATAGAGAAATTGTTTAAACAATTATTTTACTTTTTTAGTTGTAATAAGAACATCTGCTTACGTTCATGGAAAGAAAGATCGTTGGTTCCCGAACGCATCGTAACATAAGAGATAAGGCTATATTTCTGTACGCAAAAAGATTTTTTCCTGTTTGATATTTGTTTGTCCCCTGTTCAGCAGATTTTAACTTAAAATATTGGTTCATTAATGAATGCATGTATATATCTAATGGTATCTTCTCGCGCCTCAAGGACTTAAATTTCATGTTTCCAACTGATAATATTATCAGATTCTGTAACGCTACAAAACTTTGCATTCATGAATTATCTATCTTGTATCTAAAGATGCCATTGTGATTTTTTGATGAATTGAATAAATAAAAGGCTTTTGTGCAGCGTCATAAGATAAGATTTTAAAGCGGTTTGGTAGGAATGTAACACTTTTAACGGTAATTTGGGATGAAAGGGGCATGAAACTGCGATATTTTACGAAAACATGTCCCTTTT